AGGTCTAATGACATGGTCATCCATGTCACTGTCCAAGACTAGAGATCACGCCACCCTCTTCCACATTGTTGTAAAACAAACTAGTGTAATGTCATTGTATTTTACTACTATACACTATGTAATATGTTTTGCCTAAAGCAAAGCTTAATGCAATATGTTACTATACATGTTTAATTACTTAATCGGGTTAGCACAGTTTTACTGAATGAAAATTTATTGTTTATTTTATTCCATAAACGTTGTTATTTTTTCAATCTGCGCTAATAGTACAAGCTTTGTACAAGTAAAGAATGCATTGAGCATTTGAAAATGTTTAACCTTACATTTAATTACATTTCTAATGTGCCTTAAGATAACTAAGTGAAATTGTTAGTATTATCCTAATGTGTTTTAAACTGGAAAGCCTTTTTGCAAATAGAGATTTGGGTATTAATTACATTCTGTACCTCCTTAAACAGTGTACACAATAATTGTTTAGGAACGGTTAAGTTCAATGTGCCATGCGGGTATTGGCATGGTTTCGTGACATGATCTTTATGTACATAGATTTCGTAAACAATTAATTACTAGGTAGCATGAAGAGTAAATGGAGAAAAGTAAAGTGTGAGGTTAGAATAAGTGTCTTCGTCTGTATATTTTTTCAGCATTAAGCCTATACTGATATTGAAGCATGTCAATGTAATAATCGAGTCCCTCAAAATAAATTATAAGGCTATTTTGTTTAACAAATTATAATTATGTGATAGTGGGGTCTTAAACTTTGCACTAAATATATGTGGGCAAACTTTATCCTTATACATAATAAGTATTAAATTAATAATAATTAATGAAATGAATATAAATGTTAAGTTGACTTTACAAGGAATATGTAGGTTGATTGACTGAGTAGAATAATTTCAACTAAATTGAACGTGTTGACCAATACAATGATAGAAACTCGACATTAAGACAAGCAATAATTCAAGTTACCGCTTGATTAACTTCGAAGATCAATCCAAAGTTTCAACATCATTTGCAGCATAACTTTCAGGTAGGACTTGATCACCAACTAAATGATCCCAAGTTCTGACAAACAAGAGGTCTTCTGTATTGAATCATTAGTTGATTAAATGAATTATCTACATTTTTCTAACACAATTAGAACCATTTTATTTTTTATACCAAAAGAGTAAAATATGTGAAATAATAATAAAAAATTATAAAAACTGTGATTTAAAACAGTTTGCGAGAAAAACATTTTATTTTTTATTACACATATATACGACTTTTGAACGAATAAGAACATGAAAACGAAAAAAAAAACTTAACAATATTAAAATTCTGGTTTCATACAAATCTAAGTCATATTAATTATTCAGATGCAGATCTTTTAATTTAAAATAATACAATTCTTAAAAGGCCAGACTCATAGATGTTGTTGGAATTCACATCAATATTAGATTAAATTATATGTAAGTTGGTAAAAGCTTTAAAAAACGTTAAATCGGATAGCTATTACTTTCAACACTCTTTTATTTTTAATTGAACTCACAACAATAAGCATTTTAATCATAACTGAATCTTAGCAATAAAACATCAAGTACAAAGAGAATAAGATATATAACAGCTGATTCAAATTATTACACTAGTTGTATATAATAATCTGACAACTTCTAACAGATGTTTTTTTATTATATATCTATAGCCAGATATTGTATAGCATTTAAGATCGTGGTTAAAATGTCTACTATGTGAAAGAAACTATAAAACCAAACGTAACTGAACTCAAGCCAACAAGATAAGTTCAAAAACGTAAAACACCCATTTAACGAATAATGGATTATTAATAAAATGCGGTTCTGAATAAAATTTTATTCATCAAATCTAAGTCGAATATTGTGTCAAAAGACAGCGAAAATTAGTAAGAATTCCTATTGTTGAGCGTTGGTTGCTTGGTGAATAAAGGGGCCCTTTTTCTAGTTTTTTTTGTTTTTTTTGTTTTTTTTTAACGTACAGTACCTCAGTTCATACTAAATATTTTTTTAACTAATTATGTGTTATTATTTTTGTAATTAAATTGTTGAGCTGGATTTACCAATTTTGTATTTTAGGTCTAGTGAAATAGTATAAGCAAATGTAATATGTATCTATTACGTGAGGTATTTGTCATGTTTGGAGCTAATAACCTTATTGATTGGAAAGACTAGTGGTATAGCACTTTAAATAAAATTAAAATAAGATCGCTGGATCGATTCAAAGCAAGATAGATTTTCAACATAGATGACGTTGCTGTCTATGTAAAGGTCGACGTAGCATAACATCAGGACAAGCGTATGGACCGTTTCATTATAAAAACCCTAAGCAATGGCAATGGAGTTGAAACAAAGATCAAATAAAATACCATTTTGAGGGTAGTTCCTTTTTATTCCACGTTGCGGATACTAGTAGACTTGTTCGAATAAAATAAACTATAGGCAAATAATTCTGTTTTCAATTGCATTCTTTTTAAACATATTTGTATGATCAGTGTCTAAATAATAGCCAACCAGCTACGCCCTTTTTAGCGCCAGATCTGATTTTGATCAAAAATTCGATAACTTTTTACCATTAATAATTTCTGCTTATAAAACCACGGAAAAATGTATTTTATTTGTAATTAAAATGTTTACATTATTTTCCTCCTGAAAGAAGAAGCTTAATAGATTTGACTATTTAAGTAGCACCATTTAAATATAAAACATAAATACAGCTAATAGCTTTATTTCCCTGTCGCCACAGGACCCTTTACATCGCCATAAATCATAAAATACACAACTAACAAGGGTATGAATTTAGACAATAAATTGTCGTTGAAATGTGTATCGATGATAATGTAGACTGGTGGAAGATGTAGTACATTGGGACAACAATGGAGTCTCGTGGTTAGTTGAAAGCGTACAAAGGCGGCACCAGATAAAAATGCCTGTGTTTACCACAAGTTGAGTGGGGCTTGAGACCCAAACCCTTGTTTTGGCTCCAACATGTAACTAACTAATAAAGCTACCTGACTCTGTGTTAATTAGTTAATATAATAAGAGTAACAGCGTGTACTTGAAACAAAACTCTAACTAGCGTGAAATCAATTGTACCACCTTTCATTGCTTAGCTGAAATTATTTTCCATTCTTTAAATACTTTATATTGACTTATTTCAGCGCGAATACCAATGTCACTAACGTCCAATTTTAATGGCCTAACTTATAAATAACACACATTACGTATAAGATTCGATTAAATTAGTGGAATTTTTTTTTGTAAACGTTCTATTGTACACATCGATGGATTTAGAATTTAATAATATATTTTTTTATATATGCGTTATTGGAGTTTTTGCTATTCATTCAAGGGAACCCGTCTAAACCCTGGTCTTGTCCCTATTTAACGTCAAGAACAAAGCCCAATGACAAATTACATGTGGGTCCAGAATAGCAAAATATGATAAGCTAAATTAAAGCAAAAAGTCATTAAAATCATGCATTTCAGCGGTGTTTTCAGAGCGTTGTTTTATATTAACGATTGCAATTTAAAATAGAGTTTATTGGGAGTTGGTCCAACTAAACAGTATTCATGTTGTTATATGCTGCAGTACAAGTGAAGTAGCAATTTGTATGCGATTAATGTAACAAGTGCTCAATTGTATAACGTCAATTAACGTTTTACTATTTTTACGGGCATTACTAGTAAACGTTAATTGTTGAGATTTATCGATAACGTGTTTTTTATGTTTAAAGGTTAAAGCAGCAAGACAGTGAGAACCAACTGCATGCATGCGTAATGAGAGGATTTCTTTCAGGTTTGAAGTGAACAAAATAAGATTGTAGTGTGGTTCCTTAGATGTGAAAATTTTGGAAGCCTAGTGTCTAAAACATTGTTTGAGAAATGCTAGAGTACCGGTAGGAAAAACAATCAAAGTGTGAGAGTAGAGTTTATAGGTGAATGTTAAAGAGTGCCTAAACTGATATAAATTTAGTGAACCTATTTTAATGTGAACATAAACGAAAGTAAAGTGCCTCCCCGTACGTGAACGTTACGACATTGGGTGGTGTAATTCACCGACTTAAATATAAGATGATGTTGGTGTTATACTTTGCAATCAGAATGTTTAGGTTTTCCTAAAAGGTACGTCAGTACTGTAATTTTCTTAAATGAAATGTAAACGTTTCATTGAATAGTAGATTAGTTAGATAATATCATGATGACAAATAAATAATACATAACATATTAGAATAACAAATCCAAGCTCTCGTTGAAAAAGAAAATTGAGAGTATTTTTCGTAGCTCAATTTTACAGTATCTTACCTTTCTAAGAGAAGTAATTAACTAAATGTCGAAATGGTGAGCTAATCTTAAAGTGAACATACGGGGGTGTAATCTGTTTCCATGAAAATCAGGGTAGTGGGCGAGCAGTCTTACCCTCCTACCTCAAAATGAGAGTATTGTTTCTATTTGAGTATGAGAGTTCATATACGTTCCAATGAGAATTTTAACACAGTGTGCCTACATTAATGTGAACATATTCAGAGAGTAATATTTCTAACCGAAAATCCATTTCGTGATCCGGTAATCTTCAAACCTGACTATGGTAGTAGTGTTTTCTACTAAGATTTGTTTGTACGTATAAATGGACGTAAGGGTAGTGAGCCTACCTGAATTTACATATATGTGTCAACCACTGTGTGAGATTAATGTATACCTAATTGAGACTTCAGGTAAATCTACCTGAGTAGTGTGCCTACCTATATCATGGAAAGGATTTACCATACGTACATGAATAAAATATTGATAGTAGTAAACCTATTTGAATGTGAGAGTAGTGATATGCAGTGTGTCTACCTGAAAGTGACAGTAGTGATATGCACTGCAGTGTGCCTACCTGAATGAGAGAGTAGTGACAAGCAGTGGCCTACCTGAAAGTGACAGTAGTGATATGCACTACAGTATGCCTACCTGAATGTGAGAGTAGTTATATGCAGCGTGGCCTACCTGAATGTGAGAGTAGTGAGAGGGCGGTAAGACTTGTGACTGCGAGGGTCGACGAGAGGCGTGCCCCAGAAGTCGTTCCTCAGCAGCTGATAGACACTGGACGAGCCCAAGACATCAGGGTTGCGACTGACGGCGACCACGTCATCATGCACAAACTCGCCGTACAAGGCGTTGGTATAACACGCTGTGGCGAGCCCAGCCACCGCGAGGTACGGCCACATCACTGACACTGCCTTCTCCTACACCGCCGCCGCCTCCACCTCCCCTTGCGCATGCCACCCGACACATTGATTGTGACCTTGACACACAGCCTCACTTTCACGCATTCTGGGATATCATATAAGAAATGCATAGACAACACTGCAAGAACACATACGAAAGTAAATTTAAATATATGTAGACAAAAAATATTTAATAAATCCTGTCAAAAGATATATAAAATCACCTTATCTTACAATTTTATGGTAGCAGTATTACAGTTCTCTTTATGAACTCCCATTGGCTGGATGATATTTAATAATCGTCAATTAACTGACTGATTTATTTAAAACACGTAAAATTCTGTACTCAGCTATTTATTCAAAATCACCAATTCGCTTAAGGGGCATTTTTTTCAAATTGTCCTAGAAGTTAGCAATAGCAGTAGAAGTAAACGGCTAGTATACAGAATCAGTCCGGGCTGGATGCAACTTTAATTTAAGACTTTAATATAAGATTAGGTCGGGTCAGTTGAGGTTCACTCAATATACTGTGCACCGAAGGGTTCACTTAGGTAAACTTCTTAGTTCAATTTTGTATCATTAAAACGTAACTTTCATGATACCACTGCTTACCAAACACAAATATTCAACGTTCAAGTTGTACTAGGTTAGCTACCCGTCGCTAATCTGTAACTGCCGAATCTAGAGTTGAATAGTTGACGAGGTGAGGTCATTATAGTCAAGGGAATTAAAAGAGTGAGTCAACGGAAATTCTAATTTACAGTACTAACACATGCTAGCTACCACGTTGCAATGCAGAATGTTTCTTTTTGTGAGACGAAACTTAGTATAAGGAACCACTTGTGTATGGTCACCTTCCATAGGTATCAGAATTGACTTTGATCATATGAGTTTTGTAGTCGACATGTCAAATGAAAAGTGTTAAACAAAAGACAACTAATAACACCTAATTTATATGAAAGGAACACAATTGTTCAGACTAAATCTTATGTGACAGTTGATTTTCTAAAAAAAACATTCGTATGCTATTAAACAAATTAATATCATTAAATATTTTTTTTCTAAAGAGAGTTTTTTTATGTAAAATATAATTGGACTAACAAACCAATTAATTATGCTGATCAATTTGATGTAGAGGACAGTTCTGCGTTCGCATTTAATTTATTGGCAATAACTGATAATTAAATCCACCCTTCCACCCGCTTATTATTGCACCTAACGGTCCAATTCTACTGAATCGTTTTCAACACTTCATTCAATTCAATACCCGTGCGCTGCTTTGGTTTAGGAGATTATGCACTAACTATTGAATGGGTTTATTTCAAAATTAAACTATTAAAGATTAATACAACTTACATTACAAAACATTCATTTGGTACTTTATTCTTCTACGTTACAGTGTTGAGCATTTTATAAAACTGATGTTTGTCCCAAGTGCTGAACCACACAATAAACGTGGATAGGCAAATTGTATCAATTTTGAATTAGTACATGTCATCTTGTAAATATTTGTTCTCGTAACAACAACGAAAATCATCATAAGACTTTTTCCCAATACTTAAAATAAAAATAAATAGTAAGAAGCATACCTGAATGTATATTTCACGCCGGATTCATTAATGTTGCTTAAACATCGGTTATTACTCTAAAATATCAAGTAAATTATGCTGATGCATACGTGACATCAACTACAATTATATTGAATGTGTGTTAGTTGGTGTATTACTGTGGAGAACATGCCTCTTGTGGTTGATTGTATGGGACAGCGTCTCAGCATGCCTATCATACCGCCAATGTTCACTATTGTATTGGTTCAGGACAGTGATTAATATTGGTCCAGGCATTTGACACAATTGTCTAGCAGATGTCGTTGTGGCAACTGTTCGCCAAGTAACTTGCCATCGCAACTATTCTGTATAAAAAATGTAAGATAACTGCAGATACTACACTGGTTTATATTGTCAATATAAATAATGTTAAGTGACAAAAAATCCATAGCTAAAATGGTCTGGTAGTGCAAATCCTTGATGTATTTTCATATACACTATCCGTATTGATCTCTATACCATAAATATGGGTTTCCAAGCTCCAGATTTTGAGCTTTTAAACAGATTACAAAATAGTTTGTATCTTCATATCAGAATTGAGGTAGTAAAGTAGAAAGAAATTCTTTTTTTTTAGAAAAATCTTCCCGAATAAGTTTTAGGTTTGAGGCGAAGATAGAAACTTGTTTTCCAATTTAACAGAAGAAATATTAAATGAATTAAAATTCTAGTAGCGGTTTAAGTCATAAGTAAAAACGTAAAAAAAAACTTTTTATATAATGCCTGGATATAGCAATGAATAAAGAAAAGTAATAAAAGTCACGACCCCTAACTGTCGGAGCACATTTAAATATCTCTGCTTTAAACTGTGACACAGAAACATCAAAGTATATTGCGCCAACTTGAAATCACCGTCACAAACTGGTGTTACGCTCCATTCCTCCAACTCAACCATCGTGTCTTGCAATGGGGTTCAGTAGCATTACTTAATTGTGCATTAACTGTGGATATTTACAGGTAGATGCGATACTCCCTGGTGTGGATTAACGTCCGCAATAGTAAGTACTTCATCTATCCACAGTACTATCCTGATAATTAGACCAAATCGCTAATTACAAGGCAAAATAAAATGTGTTTCGGATTCCACTATAAAGTAGGTCCCTTAGTTGGCTGTATGGGCTGTTAACAGCTGTGTCCAAGGAACATGTCGGCCTTTTTCACAAACAAGACTACAATATCGTGCCACTTATCCCACACTGGTTTAAAAACCTACAGTCGTGTGGTCACCATTTCAGAATAAAGAAATACTTGAAATGTTTACAATTTTTCACACAGTTTAATCAAAACATGATTATAAGGCTGTAAATTATATAATTATCTAGAGCATGAAACTATATTGTTTAAGCCGTACCGTATCATCCCAATTGGAGTTTCACACCTAGGGAGATACAATAACGTAAATTTCATTCACAAAAAGGTTCGTATTTCACCGTTGTTTGATTTTGTTGCTTAGAAGTATCTCTATGACCTACATCTATGACAAAGAATATTTTTCATATTATCTTCGTGATTTATTGTTTTTCATTTACTAGGTCCAAAACATTATTGAGATAAATGAAAGGAATTTTTTTTAATTACATAATTTTTTAAGCCAGAAGAGCTAGGAGGTGGCGGTGACGTTTTTAAGCTGCATGTGATCGATGGTCTTACATTACCCAACTGATATTGGAGCCTCCTCTACTCTACCAACACTTCACTTTAATACTTTAGGCAGAGTCTGAGACAAAGACCAGGAGAGCTAGGAAGTGACGTTGACGTTGTTGAACCGCCTGTGATCGATGTATTACATTATCCAGCTGAGATTGGAGCCTCCTATACTCTAGCAAAACTTCACTTTAATACTTTAGGCAGAGTCTGAGAAAAAAAACCAGGAGAGCTAGGATGTGATGTTGTTAAGCTGCTTGTGATCCATGGTCTTACATTGCCCAGTTGAGATTGGAGCCTCCTCTACTCTACCATCACTTCACTTTAATACTTTAGGCAGAGTCTGAGACAAATACCAGGAGAGCTGGGAGGTGACGGTGACGTTGTTAAGCTGCATGTGATCGATGGTCTTACATTACCCAGTTGAGATTGGAGCATCCTCTACTCTACCATCACTTCACTTTAATACTTTAGGCAGAGTCTGAGACAAAGACCAGGAGAGCTAGGATGTGACGGTGACGTTGTTAAGCTGCTTGTGATCGATGGTCTTACATTGCCCAGCTGAGATTGGAGCCTCCTCTACTCTACCATCACTTCACTTTAATACTTTAGGCAGAGTCTGAGACAAAGACCAGGAGAGCTGGGAAGCGACGGTGACGTTGTTAAGCTGCTTGTGATCGATGGTCTTACATTACCCAGCTGAGATTGGAGCCTCCTCAACTCTAGCAATGCTTTGAGCTAGGAGGTGGCGGTGACGTTGTTAAGCTGCATGTGATCGATGGTCTTACATTACACAGCTGAGATCGGAGCCTCCTCTACTCTAGCAATGCTTTGAGCTAGGAGGTGGCGGTGACGTTGTTAAGCTGCTTGTGATCGATGGTCTTACATTGCCCAGCTGAGATTGGAGCCTCCTCTACTCTACCATCACTTCACTTTAATACTTTAGGCAGAGTCTGAGACAAAGACCAGGAGAGCTGGGAAGCGACGGTGACGTTGTTAAGCTGCTTGTGATCGATGGTCTTACATTACCCAGCTGAGATTGGAGCCTCCTCAACTCTAGCAATGCTTTGAGCTAGGAGGTGGCGGTGACGTTGTTAAGCTGCATGTGATCGATGGTCTTACATTACACAGCTGAGATCGGAGCCTCCTCTACTCTAGCAATGCTTTGAGCTAGGAGGTGGCGGTGACGTTGTTAAGCTGCATGTGATCGATGGTCTTACATTACACAGCTGAGATCGGAGCCTCCTCAACTCTAGCAATGCTTTGAGCTAGGAGGTGGCGGTGACGTTGTTAAGCTGCATGTGATCGATGGTCTTACATTACACAGCTGAGATCGGAGCCTCCTCTACTCTAGCAATGCTTTGAGCTAGGAGGTGACGGTGACGTTGTTAAGCTGCATGTGATCGATGGTCTTACATTACACAGCTGAGATCGGAGCCTCCTCAACTCTAGCAATGCTTTGAGCTAGGAGGTGGCGGTGACGTTGTTAAGCTGCATGTGATCGATGGTCTTACATTACCCAGCTGAGATTGGAGCCTCCTCAACTCTAGCAATGCTTTGAGCTAGGAGGTGGCGGTGACGTTGTTAAGCTGCATGTGATCGATGGTCTTACATTACACAGCTGAGATCGGAGCCTCCTCTACTCTAGCAATGCTTTGAGCTAGGAGGTGGCGGTGTCGTTGTTAAGCTGCATGTGATCGATGGTCTTACATCACACAGCTGAGATCGGAGCCTCCTCAACTCTAGCAATGCTTTGAGCTAGGAGGTGACGGTGACGT